ACAGGGAAAGATTTTTCAACCAAAGAGAAGTCCGAAATTCTTTTCAAACAAATAAGAACGCGTCACATGATTCCCAAATATTTGAATCCTGTTCTAGAATAAATCAGTTTCTGTAATTTGATGTCATATAAAAAGCAGACTAAAAGAAATTGATAAACAGGAAAGTAAACAACTTAGTTTTATAAAGGCTTAAAACTTGGAAGGAAGGAGCTATGATAACGCTGGTTTTTGTACCTAAGGTAGTGCAGGCCGTCCCTGTAGGAGCTGTCCAGCTCTTCAACAGTCCAGAAAGATTCCCTCAGTCCCCCGCCACCTGGACGGGATCAAACACAGAGCTGAGCTTCCTGATGAGCTCATCTAAAGTCGCTTCTATGCTGCTGCTCCAGCAAACTACACACACAAGATGGCAGATAACAACAGAGAGACAAAGGAGGTCTCCAGGACTGACCCTTAGACTCCAAAACATCGGTAGTTTGCCTAACATTTTCTCATGCATTGATGACGTTATATCAGGTAACACTATGCGAGTACTGAAGGAATGTACACCATTACGTTTCAGTTCCCATGGTGACGTATGGCCTCATGCTAGCAGCCAGCAGCCGAATGTCCTCACTGCAGACTATCTCTTTGACAGCTAAAGGTCCAGCTAAAGGTAAAGAAGGGCAGCCAGACTTCCAATCTTGTCTTAATGCTCACCTAAGTCCTCCTGCTGGACCAGAATGTGCAGGGATTAAACTATTCCGGCCCCAGGCTGGATCTCCGGCTCGTAGCGATGGCCGTAGGTAAAAGAAATCCCTTGAAAATAAATTGAGGATAAATAAATAAAAAAAGAAAATCAAAATCCCTCTTGCGTTTGTCAGCCAATGGTAGCAAAGGAGCGCTCTGAAACTAACAGTATTAGCCAATCAGAAGAAGGAGGCGGGTCTTAGGAAAGCGTGTACCTTCCCCTCTCGTTTCTTGCTCAAGTGGCCAGATAGAGCAAGGAAGACGGTTTGTTGCTCTATCTGGACTGTTGAAGAGCTAAATTCTACGGAGAGACGTGTTCAGGCTCTGGATTTTTTTTGTTGCATTAATTCCTTAATATGATTAACAATCCATGTTGT